CTCCAGGTTGAGCTGTTGTTCAGCATCTTAGCTGTAGAGGGCAGTGTCACTGGCCCTCATATGTGGGATCCGAACTGGGGCCCTTTGGCGTCCCAAGCCAGCTCTTAACCATCGTGCCACTCGGCCGGCCCTGACATAAATATATTTATATGTTAGATTAATACTACATGACTCAAAACAGAACTGAACAACTGTCATCCTGTATAGATGCAGGTGAATTTGTTTTGAGAGGGAGAAAGTCAAGAAAAGTCCTCATTTCTTCTTATCAAGCTGTTGGAATTGTTCGTGATGGTGAGTGGTTTTAGGAACTTGAAGAGATTGGTGAAGGTTGGAATAAAAATTAGAGGGAATGATGAGATTGTTGACTAAGCCTTAAGACATGGTAAAATATGCAGATCAAATTGCTCAGTAAAAATAGTGGCTAATAATGACTACGGAGTTACTACGTGTCTGGCACTTTTCTTGATACACTGCCTGTATTAAATAATCTACAAAACAACCCCAGATATTTTTCCCATTTTGTGGATGAATAAATTGAGGCTCACAGAGATTGGATCATTTGCCCAAGTGAAGCAGATCCTAACTGGTGGAGCCAGGATTCAAACACTGACTGCCCCCAAAGCATGCGCCCCATCACAGAATGATGGTAAGGATAAAACCAGGTAAGTAGAGTCGGACCTCTGTATCCTCCAGTTTCGCACCTTGGAATTCAAACAACCGCAGACCAAAAATAGTTGAAAAACTTATGCTTTTGCTGACATGTGCTATGTAATTTTGCCACGATGGTTGAATCTGTACTGAACGTGTACAGTTTTTCTTGTAATGGTTCCCTAAACAATATGGTATAACAACTATTAACATTTTATTAGTTATTATAAACAATCTAGAGGTGATTTAAAGTATACTGGAAGATTGTGAAGTTATACGCAAATACTACGCCATTTTACATAAGGGACTTGAGCATCCTTAGATTTTGGTATCTGCCGGGATCATGGAATCAATCTCCCCAGGAAACTGAGAGATGGCTGTATGTGATATTTAACACAGTCCTCGTATTTATTTATCCACCCACTCCTTACTCCCAAACACACATACACGTAAACACACATACACATAAACACACATTCACACCCATTCCAGTCTTTTTACCAACAAATTTCATACTCAGGTGTCTAGGTAACTAGGTATCAAACTTCTATTCATACGATACTCTTCTTCTTCATAGGACTTAAGCTCACATATATACAATGAGTTCCAGGAACAACCTCTGCTCTCCCACATTTCTTCTCCGAGGTAAACATAAACACATACTCACTTAATACTGACTCTTGGTTAAAAAACAAATGCACATATATAGTCCGATACATAGCAGAATTCAACTCAGTAAGGATTTTTCTTTTCCCATTATCTAGGGAAATGCATGAGTTACCATAACAGATGCCAAAGACATTTGGCTCTGGTAGTGGAAATAGGGAGGCAATGGTGAAATGAGGTAAGAAATTCCGGGGCCAGAAGGTGGATGCAAGTCATCAACTGCTTTTCCCAGGAGCTCGCTCTTTTCGGTAAGTGCTGCTCGTACAAGCCCCAAGCCTCTGCCACAGCCTACGGTCCCTGGTCTCCTCGGCCTGGTTCTGAACCCCGCTCATAGTGGGGCATGCGCGCACCGTGGGGACCCTCATTTGTAAGGCCTGCATGTTCCCTCGCTCTATTTTAACGCTTGCTGAGGGGCCAAGGAAGGAGGATTCGTCAGAAATCGTGAACAGAGAGCACCAAGCTTTCTCCTGCAAAGACTAGGCAGCCCAGGAGCAGCGAATCATGACTTGCTCGGGGTTTAATGGGTCACGGGAAAACAAGTTCCTCTCCTGCCCGCTCGCCCTTTTGGAGCCAGCTCCGGCAGCTGTGGAGAGCACAGAGGTGACATCCTGCAGGCTTTGGAGGGTGGGAGATGTAGGGACCAGAGCAGCACCCAGCACCAGAGCCGAGGGTCACGCGTGAGGCTCCTAACCGGCCCCTCACTGATCCCCGAGGATGAGGTGGGCCCTGATCAATACCCCTCCCGGCTAGAGCGCGGGAAGGCCAAGTTCAAACGCAGGATGTCCAGCTTGGGGGAGGTCTGGGAAGGACGCCGAGAGATCCGGCCAGCCGCCCCCGCCGCCCTCCCGCAGTCAATGCAGCCACGCCAGCTATCTTTGGAGCCAATCCGAGTTACTGTGCCTGCGCTCCCCCATCCCCCACTTTGTGAGGCCCTGCTCTCCGAGTCTGTCACTTAGCAACGCGCGAGTCACAGTGGCGGCTGTCCGCGCGCCCCTTTCCAGGCAGGGCTTATCCCCGATGTTCCCGCGAGGCTCTTCGCTGCCCCGTGTCAGGCATTAGGAGGCCATGGAGGGAAAGCGGGATAAGCAGCAGTAAGTGCCAGCGTTTGGTTTTCTATTTCCCCTTCCAAAAAATATTCTCCTCCCTGGGGGAAAGTTAAGTGAGACCCAAGGGGTGGGTCCTCAGCCATCAGGGCCTTTCCTCTTCCAATCCTCTTCCTCCCTCTCATGTCTAGTAGTTGAGCACTTACAGCAATACTTTTTAAAAACGCACTTTTTACTGGGCACCTGAGTGTCAGGCACTTTACATGCATTGCCTGACCTAAATTCTTGAAATCATCTTGAATCATCTATTCCTTCTCACACCCACATCTAACCGATTAGCAAATTCTGTAAGCTTTACCTTAAAAATGTATCCAGAATCCACCACGATTCATCACTTTATCATCCCCACCTTGGACCAAGTACCAGCGTCTCTTACCTGGATGCTGGAATAGTCTTTACTGCTCCCCTTGTCCCTCCGCAGCCTCCTCAACACAACATTCCTGAGTGCTCTTTTTACAAGTTAGATCACTCTACTGGCCATTGCAGAGTAAAAGCTAAGGCTCCAACAAAGGCTTATAGGATCTACACGATGTGCCCCTTTTCCCTCACTTGCCCTCTGACTCAGCTCTGCTCCAGCACACGCACCTCCTTGCTGTCATCTACCGTGACTCTCAAAGTGTGGTCCCCAGACCAGCATACCCCTGGCAATTTATTAGAAGTGCAATTCTTGTAAGCTCCTCAGCACAGAACATACAGAATCGGAAACTCGGAGATCAGGGCACAATAATCTGTTATTTATTTTTTTATTTTTATTTATTTTTTAAAATTTATTTTTAAGCTGAGCCATCCTGCCACCTGTTGGCAGCTCAGCTGCTGCTCAGCTCGGGCCAGGAATAGAACTGCTGTTGCTCAGAGCTCAAACTCTTGAGCTACTCTGAGCCACTCGGCTGGCCCAATAATCTGGTTTTTAACAAGGCCTCCAGATGATTCTGATGTACCCTAAATTTTGAGAACTAAAATCAAGGTGTTACAGCTTGTTATGACGTGGAACCAAGAGTATGTGTTTCCAAAGCCTGTATTTTGTCACTACAACAGTGGTTTTTAAGCTATTTTTTTTCCCATGATTGTTCATAGCAACTTTATTCAAATAAGTCAAAATTGGAAACAGCTCAAATGTTCACCAATCGGTGATTAGACAAAGAAATTGTGGTATATTCATATAGTGGAATAATATGCAGTGATAAAAATAAACAAATTACAGATACACACAATAACATAGAGGAATCTCTAAAACCTCATGCTAAATAAAAGAAACCAGACACAAAAGAGTTCTTACAGGATGATTCTATTCATATTAAATTCTAAAACAGGTAAAACTAAACTATAGGTAAAATAATTCAGAATGGAATTTATACTTAGGGTAGGGTTATAAGAGGTATTGTTTGCAAACAGCACAAAGAAAGGAGAAATGTGTTACATCTTGTTTTGTGTGGTGGTTACTCAACCTTTAACATATAGAACTACCTAGAGAACTGGTTAACGCAGTTTCCTGGGAATTTGCCCCCTTATGATTTAGTAGGTTGGGCCTATGAATTTATATTTCTAACAAGCTGACAATTGAGGCCAGTACTGCTAGTCTGGGTCCATACTTTTGAGGAACACCATTCTAAGGACAGGTATACTTCTGCTGAGGAGCTTTGGCAATTGCAGTTCACTCTGCTGCAGTCTCTTTCCCCCAGGTATCCACTCAGCTCCTTCTGTCTTTCCTGTCCTTTTCAATTGCCACTTTCATGATGCAGCCTCCACCTTACATAGAAATGGAACCTATCTCCCATATACATGCACTCCTTTTTCCCATTCCCTGCTTTTGTGTTGTCCTCTGTACTTAACACCATCTAACAATACAAGCATACCTCACATTGTTGTCCTCCACAGATACTGCATTTCTTACACATTGAAGGCGAGACCCTCCACTAGCAAAAAGATTGCACTCACTTTATTGCAATAGTTGCTTTACTGTGGTGGTCTGGAACCACACCCATAATATCTCCAAAGTATGCCTGTATATGTTGTACTTATTATTTTATTTCTCATCTGCCTTACCCCACTACAAGGTAAGATCTGTGAGGGCAGGAATTTTTGTTTTGTCACTCCTGTATCTTCCATGCCTCAAAGAGCACCAGGCACATAACTCAATAAATATTTCTTGAAGGAATGAATTATCAATGTTATTCTCACATCTCTCACAATAGGTATTATTGTCCTTATCCTGCAAATGAGCAGACCAAAGCTCAGATAGTAATTGGTAGAGCTGGGGTGCCAACCCAGCTCTGATTTACTTTGATCCCGTTAGTGTTTTTAACTGTGTTTTCCTTCTAGTAAGAGATTACTACAGAATCATATATTTCACATTTATGTATCAATCTATAGCCACTGATACCACAAGTACTTAACTGGACGAATGCTTAAGTATGCGAGCAAATAGCGACAGTCCTTTCCTCAAAGGACCTGATTCCAGTACAAGTGTACTGCTGTGTTACAACTATAAGAAGTCAATGGGAAAAAAACCTGATGTCAGAAGTCTACGATAAATCCATCACAACCTTTAAATAAATACTTCTATCTCTGGAAAGGTACTAGAAAAAGCCTTAGAAGTTGTTTACACTTTACCAGTAATCAGTTTTTCCAAATCCTTTACAAGGGGAATTTTTGTTGGGATGCAGGGAACTAGAACCCACCCATAGGCACTGAATATTTGTTTGTGTGTGTGTTGGAGTAAGGGTTGGGAGTGTACAAGTAAAGCAAAGCAGAGGAAAACAATCCCAGCATTCACGAGAAATGTGTAAATATTATAATGGCTCCAGATATAAATATATAATGGTCTGGATGGTGGGTACAAAATGATGATGAAACACAAGCTTCACCTTCACGGAACTTACTGATTAGTAAAGGGTATTTGTAGTGCTTACCCGAAACAAGTAAACAGAAAACTACGTACATAAATTATCAATTCTGGTAAGTGTTATGAAAGAAATGAACAAAGTACCATAATGAAGACTACATGGGGTGATGAGGACTTCTGAGTTGACTTTGAAGCTGAAACCTAAATGATAATGAGCGAGCTGTGCGGGGAGTTGGTGAACAGCCAGACCAGGCAGAGGGAAGGCAGTGTGTGCACATACCTGAAGGGAAAAGAGACCTGTGTGTTCCAGGAACTCAGAGAAGGCACACTGGCTGGAAAAGTGAAGGGAGAGAGGCTTGAGTGCAACTGAAGAGATTAGCTGGAGCAGGGTCACCCAGGACCTCAGAGCTAAGATCAAGAGGCAGTATTTTATTGTAAATGCAATGGAAAGCCATTAGAGGGTTTTAATTGACAAATGACATGATAAAGGAGATGGACCTAGCTTTGGTTTGAAGTAAGGTAGGCGTTATATTTTAAGGGCAAGGTATAAGGCTAAACAGAATTATTCACTTTCTCTGTACATTTGGACTCATTTACTCACCTTCCATGGATCAGGGCTTTGATTTTAAGGGCTTTGATTTTAAGGGCTTCGATGTAAAAGTATTCAAATTCATATATTTAATTCTTCCCTTCACTTTTCAAGTACATGACATTTAAAATACTACCTTTTATAAAATCTGTTACTCCTTATGTAAAAAGAGAAAAATTCTATAAACTATTTCTTTTCTAAACATTTCTTCAACATTTTAAAAAAGTTAAATAACTTTCATTTTTGTACCAGTGTAGTTATTAGAAGCAAAAAGGGGTAAGAAATTGAATTACTTGTTCTGGGGTAAGAAATTGAATTACTTGTTCTGATGCCTGCACAGTGGTCTTTTCTGGAAAAGATAAATAGTATTGGTCATTTGGTAGCTTTTGTAAGTTTGCCAAGTGAGCTTTTAAAATTGAATAGTTGTCCTTGTCCAAATGGCTGAATTGACCAGGTAACTAACTTTTAAAGATGAGTTAAGCTTAACATGTAACTTAGCCACATGAATAAATACTGCACACATGATTTGTAAGCATGATCAAATCATTACTCTTTTACTCCAAGCAAATGAGAGTCCATATACTGCACTGGTATACTGTAATGAATAATAATTAACACAAATCCCTCTACCTCTTACACGATTTAGAGTGAGGAGATACCCTCCCAAATAGTAATAGCACAAACCCCTTATAGCTATTAATAAAGCCTAAATTGTCTTGACTGATCCTTGAAATATACTTAAATCTTATATAACTATGACTCAATACTAAAATGCTCATTGGGATAAATGATTTACTGTTTAATTCTATTTTTCAGGCAGCATAAAATAGAAGATGCTGGTATAGTGTATGTAACTGAAAAAAAGGAAGAACTCAAACATGAGAAAGAAGTTGGAAAAAGTATACAACATTCAAAACCATTTTTCAGGAGAGGACGTGTACATTATGCTAAATTCATTAACACAAACACAAGAACATTAAATGAACCGGTTCCCTACATAGAGCCAAAAAAGGAGCCAGAAAAACAGGTTGGACAGATGTTTATTATATACAAATATAGATTTAGATTCAGAAGCTGTATTGCAGTATAATTTAGTCACAGACTACTTAAAGGGTGTGACGTATCTCGGACTAATACTCTTTATTATCCAATAGTTAAAAGCAATAACCTGGAACTATTCTTACAGATAACTTTTGAATAAAAACCATATATATATTCCAAATAATCATTTTCTAGATTGGGTCAGATTATAGGTACTCAGTAGTGCTTGGGGGTTACTAAAGAAATCTCTTCTACTGTATCTCTGAGTAATTCTAAAGTAAAATTACGCATGCTACTCAGTAATTTAGTTACTATAAAATAACAGCTACCATTTACTGAAAGTGTATGAAGTGTTATAAATGAGCCAAGTGTTTTATATAAGTTATGTCCTTGAATCTGCACAATAATTTGTAAGAGGTATTATTGGAAATATTTCACAGATGATAACATACTCCAAAAAGTAAATTAACATATCTGAGATTACATAGTAAGCAAATATCATAGTCATGTCTCTGACCCAAGACTGTTGGTTTAGCCAAACCGCACTTTTATTCACTATCAAACTAACTATATTCCATATCTTCTTTTTCATTTAAGTCAGGTTTGTTGAGGTATAATTAATTCTGTTAGTTTCCTGTTGCTGCTGTGACAAATTCCCACAAACTTAAACACTGGCTTAAAGCAACACAAATTAATTCTCTTACAGTTCTGGAGCTCCGAAGTCTGAAATCAGTCTCATTGGCTATTGGCAGGGCTGGTTCCTTCTTGAGGCTCTAAGGGAGAATGTTTCCAAGCTGCCTGCAGTCCTTGGCTCAGGGCCCCTTCCTGCTCAAAGTCAGCAGCATAGCATTTTCAAATCTCTCTCTGACCTTCCTGCCTCCCTCTTCTAAGGACCCTTGTGATACACTGGGTCCCCCCCCCCAAGATGATCTGAGATAATCTCCCCTTCTCGATTTCCTTAACTCAATCACAGCTGCAAAGTCCCTTTTTAACAGACCATTTAGTAATGGAGATTGCTTTTAGTGCATTGTCTTTACACGGATAACATCAACTGTTCTTGTCATTAAACAGATAAGTACACCATGGCACTGTATATAGATGTGAGATCTAGGGGGCAGGAATTCCTATAGTCAAATATGCTTTAACATCATGTGGTAAACCCTTACAAGGGCAGTTTAAGGCTATTTTCAGAAACAATTATTTCAGATTTAAAAGAAATCGATAGACCAGTCCCACACTGGGAAAATAAGTTTGGCACAGAAATCCAGGTTAGTGAAGTTCTGATGTTTTACAAAAGTTAATGAATGACTCTCCTGAACTCTGGTTCGGGATGAATTTAAACCAGACTCTTAACTGAGCCCATCCTTAGAGGCACTAAAGAAAGAAGCTGGTTTGAGAATAGAAATACGAAACGTAAACATTTTGAAATGTAATCCAACTGATTTTCTCTTACTCCTAGTTTGTAGGTGCCGTGAAAAAAAAATAATAAATAAACGAACAAAAGTGTTAGGCGTTGCTATCAGCAACACGGGGTGACAGATTAGCAGTAACATCTTTGTTTTATTAGTTTGAAAAGCTAAATTAGCCAGAGACCTTTAAGAGATGGTAAAAGAAAGTTTGAAATGAAGAGGACAGGTAAGAGAGATCGATAGTGCATATGAATGAGTAGTTACAAAGAAAGACTGACGATGCATCACAGAGGTAAAAGCATGTTTGATTTGAGCGTGGAGTGAGGAGAATGTTCAGATTTAAAAAACAAAAACAGTAACAAAAAAACCCAAAAACCCTTAAATGTACTCTTTTCCAAGTATCCGAGGGGTAATAAAGTGTTCCTTACACACACTTGTAAACTTTGTTCTTTTATTTAATATGGCAGGTTTCTTTTTAAACATTAGTTTGGTAAAAATGAAAACAAAAACAAAAACCAAAAAAAAACCCAAACTGGTTTGTAGTAATGTGGCTTTAAAATAAAAGTAAAGAAAGTAAAGTTGCTTAAATATTTAAATTGATGTATCTGTTGTCTTACGTATTTTGCTACGATAATATCTTTGAAACACATAAAATTGCAGGTGCTAGAAAAAAATTAAAAGGCGCTTTAGTGCAGTCATTTCCAGGGAAAACTAGTTTGGTTGTCTTGAATTTTTACATATTGGTATTTTAAAAGAGATGATATATTTTGTATTTTTCAGAGCACTAGTCCTTACATATGTGCTCAATAAAATAAAGTTCCAAAGTCAAACAATGTCTTGAAAAAGATGCCGTTTTATGTGCCCTTCTCAGAGCTTCACAATTCACATTAGTATATGAGGGTTCTGAGAAATCCTGTGATAAGCTTGTGTAACTTCGCTTATTCTCCCAGTTTATTTAACTATGGAAACCTCTTTTATGGAACACCTAGTAATATGCTGCAGAACTAGTGTTCCACAGAACACAATTTAGGAATAACTGTCATTGGGGACATTATGAATTGCTTAAAAAGAGGCATTTTTCAGCACTCCTTCTGGTATCCACAGCAAACTAGAGATGAACTTCGATACAGTGTAACTAGTGTTTGTGACAGCACTTCAGTTTTTGTAAACCACTGAGCTCTACTAGTAATATGTGATTGTCTATGTGTAAGGTGTTGTCAGAAGTCCCTATTTTCCTAGGAATCCCTAAAGTGTGGTTTTATGTTCCACACATCACCACCATCTCCACCCGCCATCTTGGCCAGGCCGCTGTGGAGCTCGGCTTCCCACCTCTTGGCTTCTCTTAACTGGTTTCTCCACAATTTCCTCCATGCTTATACCACGTCTCCTGGGAGGATTCCACCTTAACTTCCCAAAGAATGGAAAATAATGTTTACTTACACATTTCTAAAGGCTTAGGAATAATACAAGTATAACATAAAGACTGATTCACAGTGTTTTCCAAATGTGGCTAAGGGGGTCAATAGTGCAACAGCTGGTAGGCCTTCCCGGGGTCAGGGGTTAATGGGAGCCCCATCATCAGGAATCTCCAGGCATTTCCCTATCATGGAGCCCCAGTGACGGTCATCCTGGGGCAGGAAAGGAGACTGGCCTTGGGCTGGAAGGGAGGACTTCCTTCTCTCTTTGGGTGCAAAGTTTTGAACCGGGGACAACTATCTTCTTTAAGTAAAACCCCCTCAACCACCTGCAAGATGTTGTTTAACCCCAAAGCCTAGACAAAACAATCACACTAGAAGACTTTTCCTTGTTTGATCTATTTCATCATAAATAACTCCATGTCAACCCCTGACAATCCAATGCAAGTGATGGTAGGCAGAGCAGTAAATTTTTAGTCTTTCCCTTTAGCTTGAGGTGAAGGAAAAAAACAAGCCTCCACCCACATCTTTAATCTTATAACCTCTTAGGAGCACATGTGTGGATCAAAAAGCAAGCACATCACACGTGTGCACACACTCTCACAGGGGCAAACCAGACTTTTCAGGCAGAGGCCAGACAATCTAGAAACAGGAAAGGTAAACACATTTTTTGAGCTGTAGGGTTTCATTCTACTGAAGATTCATCCAATTTACAACACTCATCAGACCCCTTTCACTAGTTATGGGGTGTTAAAGTCATCAATCACAACTTTAGAAAAAATTGTTCATTATTTCTTTTATATTTGTGAAATTGAAGAGACCATTTTGGTAAAATTCTAAATTCAAAAGAAGTCTTCTTACAATGTGACCTGGTACCTCTGCTTTAAAGATAGTTTTTGCATTACACTCCTGTTTAAGGAAAAACTCATTGCTGACCGGTCACATCCTAATGGTTCACTTATCCCAGAGTCAGTGTTCCAGTAACTTGGGTGTTAGCAAAATGAGGTTCTGATCAACAAAAGAAGATGATATAAAGGGCGCTCCTTAAGACCTTACCATAGGAGACTTTCTCAGGATACTTGCTTTGCACCCCCCCCCTTTTTTTTTTTACTTTTAAAATAATTTAAATAAGTTTATGCTCATTTGGCTTTGTTTTCCACAGCAGATTTGGTACAGCAAGATGGCATATAAATTAGAGGAGCATATAGACGGGGTGTGGGGAGGGGAGTTGTCTGCTAGTGATACACCTTGGGAAGTCACTGAATCTCCCAGCAGTTTTCTCATCTATAAAGTGGGTGTACCTACCTCACAGAAGTGTGTGAGAAGGAGAGAAAGTATACATCCTAAACCTCGAGCCTAAGAAGAGCTATCGTAATCATGGAGTAGGGGAAAGCTGCAAGAACCAGGCATGCTGACAACAGTAAGACGTGACTATTTTCAGCCAGATAGTGAGAAGACACCATCTGCTTCATAATCTGTTCTAGAATTCCTAGGCTCTACATCAAGTAGTTTTATTTTTTATAATCCATCTTTTAGCCCATTCTGAAAAATGAGGCAGTTGGCTTCTCCTATTCTCCAAAATTCCCTAATTCCTAAATTTCTTTGATCTCTGCAAACTTATTTATTACCCCTGATTACCATTTGTTATTGTCCTAAAAGCTGGCATTCATTTAAAGCTGTAAAGTGAGGTCTAACTCTCTCTTCAACTGTTCAGTTTAGTTCCTCTTTGGCCCATGTTCATCCCATCTTTTTCCGTTTGAAGACAATTTCCTGGAACAAAGAACCTGAAGTATAGTAGCTCTGACTTTCAGCTCTGAGCAGTGTACTCTTCTCTAAATTCTTAGCCTTTCCTTGGTTTCTTGCTACAACAGGATTTTTTCCCCAGGAAACCCTATTTTTGTTGCGTTAGTCACATTCATCAATTTCTTCTATCTAAGCTTCTCGACAATCTCCTACAAGTTGACTGCATTAACTTATTTCTTTTGAACTTGATATGATGTACTTCTGTTATACATGCCTGTTGTTTTAGAAACTAAGTTCATTTGAGAGCTGACTCCCTGTGCAGCCACATCGGTTTCTTTAGATGCCTCTTATTTTTTATATCAATGTAGCTTCAACTGCATTGTCAGAATTTTACTTATTAGAATCTCATATTCATCCCCCTTGAATCATATTTTTAGTCTTTGATCATGGAACCATAGTTGATTTTGATTCTTTTGAAAGGGTGATCTTCCATAAAGCCCAAGGTAGGTGTTTAATTATACCCAAGGTTTCATTCTCTAATACTATCCAAGAGCTCCTAGGTGTCACAGTTGCCTTCTCCCAAGGTTCTCTAACTTCTACCTAATCAAACAGTTGCCAAAAAAAAAAAAAAGTCAGAATTAACTCTCAGTTCTTCTGTACTTAGGTCAGGTTTTATTATCAATAATTCAGTAACATCAGAGATATTTCCACTTAGAACGATGTTTTTCAAACTGAGTCATTTGTGAGTGATAAATTAGTGTGGGTTGCAACCAGCACTGTGAAATAAAATAAAATAGAAAAATAGCCAACTACATTGCATGTAGGATTGTCTTGTAAAACTGTTTTAGTTTTAGGTATGTGTGAGCATTGTGTGCTCTTGCATGTCATAAAATGTATTTCATGGTGTGAGTAATGGACTAAAAACTTTGAAAACCACCACCTCAGATGATAATACATTATTTGATTTGCCATAATGAAAACTATAGAACATAAATTTTAGATTAAATGTTTACATATATATTTACATATATGTGTACATATATAATAAAATTGTAGTATGAAACATAGAAATATAACCATTTTGTTGATTTTTCACTACTCCATCTGTTGATAGAAGGTAGTTTAAGAATTTAGCAGCTGTATTTTAGCTAAAAACATATATTTCATTTTTAGGTGTATTTTAAATAATACAGTTTTTGTGAAAATATATGTATTCCTAGATTTCAGAGCTGTTTTAGTACCAGAATATCCAGTAACTTGTTGAATCAAATTGCTGAACTTTCAAAAATATCAAGCACCACACGGAAATATCCTACAGGGTCCAATTTTGTGTTTCCAATTTTTTTTCCCATAAAGGGTGGCTGGTGGTCACATGGTAAAGGAGTGGAACATCCCTTCCAACCACCTTATGACACTAAGAGCACCCAGAGGAGTGACTTTCAAAAACCAACATGTCCACTGGTTTTGCCAGTCAAACACAGCAAGTTGCAAAAGCCTTCTTGTGGAATAGGTAAGGTTAGCAGTGATAAAACTTCTCCATTATCTCAGGTTACTCCTATCAAATTAAGATGTATTACATGTGCTGGCACTTCCTGAGAAAATTCTTCTCCATAGGAATTGAAAATATACATACAGTAAGTACAGCCCTTGACAAGTTTGTTCTTTATGCCTTCCTGGTGGACGGCTTATCTCCAAACACATTTAATATAGGATAAGAAAAACTGTACTGCTCATTAATAATGCCAGCCTCCAAGTCAGAAACTTAGTAGCATTCTGCTCTTTATTGCTACCAGGTTTTAAAAATTGTAGGTATTAAAATAATAGGAAACACTATATTACAGTATTTCTCAAAGTGCAATCGGAGGGGCATTCGTTTTTTGATGTTTATAAATGCTCAAAACCAAAAAACGGGAAGTAGTCAAATAAGTTTTGCAAAAAGTGAATATATATATGTAATATACATATATATTTTACTACAAAACTCTTAAAACCCTTATGCTAAGCATAAACCTAATGAATTTCCAAGAATAAAGAATGCTGTTTTTCCACTTATTGACCTCTTTTCCCTTTTTAAGGAGATCATCTCATATGCCTGGTATTCCACAAAACATAATTTAAGAAATACTGTTACATAGACGACTAAAATATTTTCAGATCTAAAATTTGTTTTACCTGAAAATGCCATTGTAATAAATTAAGTTTTTCACATGTATTCAATTTCTATCTGTTTCTTAACCCATATCCTAGTAATATCTATGGCTGGATTAGGATTTAGTAAGTCTTAAAGAAATTCAGGTTTAAGTCAAAACAAAAAGGCAGTTACTGAGTACCCACTCTGGTCCTCAGCCCACACAAAAGTTCCTAAACTAAACTTCAAATTTTCTAAATACAATGGTAGATAACAAAGGATTACTTCTAGAGGTTAACAGTCCCTCACTTAATTTTAGCCTTCTGGCCTCTGTGATCTGGCCAGTCTAGAAAAGGTTAGAAAAGTCAGCTAGACTGAAGGTCAGGACATTGGAAAATGGTCATATTCAGTATGATTTCCACCTCAAGGTGGTAGTTAATGGAGAGGGCTGTTAGATAATCTATAACAATAGCCTCTTGTCTAGAAAGATAATGTTTCTACTTCTGACTCAGAATGATAGACTGAGTACAAACATCTAAATCCCTGGGATCCCAAGACCCTATTTAATGATAGCAAAGCAATTGACCCATAAAGGGAAGAGAATGAAATGAAGAACTTTCTGGAATGTGGGAAGGAATTGAAGCTTCTTGATGAATACAAGAAAGCAAAGAAACAATAGTCTAATATAGTTAGGAGATGCAGCGAAGATGAGCCAATCTGCTTGACAAAACCCCAAAGTAGCTATAGGCTCAGCCCACAGGCAAAGCAGAAGGACAATGGGGTGGGGAAGATTAGAGGGTCACTTGAAAGTCTGTCTCTTAAATAACTGCTATAGCCAGATGCCCGCTACCCTATCCCAACATTAATATTACTAGAGTTCAGTGCCTTAGCTAGATGTCAACTACCATACCAGTTACTTTAGTAATTCAAACTGGTCTCCTCCCATCCTATTCTTAATTTATGAATGGATAACCATAGATTAGAATTATACCAAGTTATATTTTTTAAAGGTCTGGAGGATAAAAAAAATATCACAGAGCAGAAAATAATAACAGCAACAACAACAAAAAAAACCCCTGGGAAATATGAAAGAATAAAAGCAAAATGGAGAATCAGTCTGGAAGTCCAATTTTTCTGGAGCTCCAGAAAAGAAGTGAGTAAAATTGAAGGCGAGATAATCATCAACACATAACAGTCATTGAGAATATACTACTTGCCAAGACTTTATGGAACTTTCTAAATATTTACTCACTGAAGTCTCACACCAACCCTATAGAATATAATTGTATAGTGACACTATTAATACTTTCATTTTTCAGATAAGAAAGCAGGCACAGAGTTTAAGTAACTTGCCCAAAGATACACAGCAAATAATTGGTATTTGAACTCAGTCTGATTCCAGTACCTGTAATAACAACCAGGACTAGACACAGCCTCTAGAATAAGAAGGAAGTTTCCCAATATGAAAGAAGAGGCATTACAAGTGTCTATACTGAGTTTTTTGAATCATGAAGGGAAAAAAGACACACACCTACACATCATTATGAAATTGCAAAATAACAATTATAAAGAGAAGATTCTAAAAGTTTCTATAAAGAGAAAGAAAAGTTAAGTCATCACCTAAGGAACACAAACCAATAAGAAATCCAGGGCCGGCCGAGAGGCGTGATGGTTAAGAACTGGCTTGGGACGCCAGAGGGCCCC